TGAAAAACAAGTCACAAATCACTTTTTTCAGTGACCTAAGTTCAAATGAACCCTTGTACCGTTTTTACATATGTAGGTAGTCCTCAGCTTAAGAACAGAATTGGGAGCAGCATTTCAGTGGCTAAACAGAACGATTGTGAAGTGAATCATGTCTGATTTTACAACCTTTTTTCTTTTTTCTTTACCACAATTGTTTAGGCAGATCATGACAGGTTTTAAGTGAATCGCCCTCAAGTTTAGAGCATTAAGGCTTCTCCCATTAACTTGGCTTGTTTTGGAAGCCAGTAGGGAAAGTCACAGATTGGGATCAGGATGCCCTGGGATGCTGCACCTGTCAGGAATTGTTGCCAGAGGCCTAAATGTTGGTCACATAACCAAAGGGTTGCTGCGGCAGTGCTAAATGCAGGGACAAGTCCTAAGGCTGAGGGTGAAGGTTCGTTCTCCAAGCTTGTGGGTTGGTTTCCAAACATTTCATTACCAGGCTAGGTAACCTCTTCAGTAGAGTTTAGGAGGTGGCGGTCACGCAGTGGTGGGATTCAATTTCTTTTACGACCATTCTGTGGGTGTGGCTTGATGGGCTGGGCGTGGCTTGGTAGGCGTGACAGGGGAAGGATATACTGCAAAATCCCCATTCCCTCCTCACCCCACTAACCTGCTTTCCAGCTCCATTCTCCTGTTCAGGGCAACCAAAGAAGACCCAGCCGATCAGCTGGGCCTCGGTAGGCGGAGAATAGGTGGGGTTGGCAGGGCCAGTCAGAGGTGGGATTTGCCGGTTCTCCAAACTACTCAAAATTTCCGCTACCGGTTCTCCAGAACTGGTCAGAACCTGCTGAAGACCACCTTTGGGTCAGTGTTATTGTTCTTCTGTTTATAAGGGCTTTGAGGGTGTGTGTGTCAAGCTGGGGACTTGTGATGGGTCAGGTATGAGTCATTGGTGAGAGTCCGATGATGGGGAAGTCCTAACTCTGTTTTCAGTGCCTTTGTAACTTAGAATGTTTGCTAAATCAATGGTTGTAAGTCGAGGATTACCTGTATTTGATTTAATAGTGTAAAACAAGCTGGGAAATAACAGCTTTCCTCCACTGGCCTGAATATATTAATATGCGTGGGAACATTAATGCAAAACTAATGTTTGACTTTGTGATCCTTTTATAAAACATGCATGTGTCACCTCTTGTAGATGGGCGTTGTAAAATTAATAATTTAGGTAAAAGTATTTTTTTTAAAACCTAAAAATGGTTATAGAGCAGAGGCAGCATTTTTTTCACAATTTCCTCAGGAGTACAGGTAGTCCTTAGTTAAAGACCACCCATTCAGCACTGTTCTAGGTTATGATGACACTGAATGAGTGATGGTTATCTCTTTGGAGATCTAGGTATTTCCCAGCATCCACGTGGTCGTGCAGCCATGATTAGTTTAATTTATTTTACTTTATGGTCATTGCACCTGGTACAACGAAATTAAATGCCATCTTCAATGGACATTATAACTATAAAAAAAACAAAAAAAACAAAGATACATCCTTTGGATTCTGTACAATTGAATTGAAAACCCCTGATATTGCATAATGTTGCACTATACAGTAGAATCTTCAGTGCACATCATGACCATGAAAATAAACACAAACACACATCCTTCACGCATCACACATTGAATTGAAAATCCCTGACATCGCACCAACACTGCACTATACAGTAGAATTCAAAAGAGCTACTGCCCTGGGATAGAAGCTGTTTTTCAGCCTATTTGTCCTTGTTTTTATTGTCCTGTACTGTCTGCCAGATGGTAATAGTTCAAAAAAGGGTTCCCAGGATGAGATGGATCTTTGAGAATGTTTTGAACTTTCTTAAGAGCTATAAAGCTCTTCCAAAAAGGGGAGAGGGCAACCAAACGATCCTCTGAGCCATGATGTTAATCCTCCAGAGCGCTGTCCTATCTGCCACTGTGCAGTTGGCAAACCATACACAGGTGCAGTATGTCAAATTAATTAGGGTGCCTGGAACTAGCCCCGCAGTCATGTGATTGCCATTTGCCATCTTCCCACCAGCTTCTAAGATTTATTGCTCAAGCTTTTATACAAGAATCTAGTCAATTAAAGTTCAGTGCCAGATAAGGGTGAATGGAATGTTTGTGGGAACGTAAGGAGTCCACGCTGATGACTCGCTTAACTCTGCCCACCAGCTTTGCCGGTTCTTTTCCTACAACTTTCCCCACAAAGGCCATGCTACTAAATTTGTTATCTTGAGCAACATTTCTCTGAGAGTTTATAGGCAGTTTGAAGGCGGATGTCTAAAGGTGAGGGCTTATTATTAACACACACAGTTTTGAGGATTAGCGGTAGCAGGAAAAAAACTTTCCTTTCTTTGCCATGACAGCTGTGGTTTCTTTTTTAACAGGCATTTTAAAAAGGACAATAGAGATCAGCAAAGATCTGAAGGCATTACCAAATCTGTAATGAAAATGAACACAAAGGAGCTACAGGGAGTCCTTAACTTATAACACTTTATTTAGTGACCGTTCAAAGTTACAATGGCACTGAAGAAAATGACTTATGACCATGGCAGCATTCCCCTGATCACGTCATTTACATTTGGATGCTTGCCAACTGATTCTCATTTAGGATGATTGCAGTATCCTGGGGTCACGTGATCCCCTTTGGCGACTTTCTGACAAGCAAAGACAGTAGGGAAGCCACATTCACTCAACAACTGTGTCACTAATTAAGCAACTGCAGTGATTCACTTAACAAATGTGCCAAGAAAAATGGTAAAATGGGGCAAAACTCACTTCTCACTTAACATAAATTTTGGGCTCAGTTGTGGTTGTAAGTTGAGGGCTACCTGTACTTTCACCTTGTATTAAATAGGCGCTCCAAATCTAGATGATCTACAGGAGCAGCCCTTCAAGCGTGGTCTATTTACAGCTCCTAGCTCCCTCAACATCGGTGAAACATTCATCAACATCTGGAAAGCATGATTGGCCTACATTTCATCCACACTGATGGTTTTAGAGCAGGGGTCCCCAACTACCGGGCCCCGGACCGGTACTGGTCCGTGGAACATTTTCTACCGGGCCGCCGTTTTGCTGGGCGCCGCCATCTTGTTTTGATGAGAAAGTGCTTCCGGGTGAGCTTTTCCGGTTGGAAAGCAGCATTTGGGTCCTGAAGGAATCCTCGCACCTTAGTTTCATTGAAGTGGGTGGTGGCTTCGAACAAAACTAAGGCGCGAGGATTCCTTCAGGACCCAAGGCAAGGCGAGCCGAGCGACCGTCCCGAAGCTGTCCTGAAGCCCATCAACAAAGGTACAAAGGAGGAGTTGAAGGCGGCGGGGAGAAGCGGGGGACGGCTGGCTGGCCGGTCCCTTGGCTCGCCTTGCCTTGTCATGTGTGCTGATGCGGGTACCGGGCTGCGGACCATTTTGTGATGCCGGTACCAGGCTGTGGCACAAAAAAGGTTGGGGGCCACTGTTTTAGAGGACAGGTAGCCCTCAATTTAACGACTACAATTGTGACTGGAGTTTCTGTTTTTAAGCAAGGCAATTAATTGAGTCACGGTCAATTTTATAAATTTTTTACCATGGTTGTTAAGCTAACCATTGCAGTTTTTAAGTGAATCATGTGGTCATTAAGTGAATCTAACTCCCCCCTCCATTGACTTTGCTTGCTGGAATCCAGCTGGGAAGGTTGCAATGACAGCCTCATAATCCTGGGATGCTACAACTGTTACGTACCAGTCGCCATCCAAATTTTGATTGTGTGACTATGAGAATGCTTTGTTGGTTGTAAGCATGAGGACCGGTTGTAAGTCACTTTATTCAGTGCCATTGTAACTTTGAATTAACAAATGGTTTTAAGTCAAGGACTATCTATAGAGTCTTCCCCATTGCTAACAAGGATTGAAGCCAAACCTTTTGTATGCAAAACAGCGTTTGCAACGAGGGTAGAGTTTTGTTTCACTTCTGCCTTATCCACGGGTAACTTACAACTAATCCAATTTTCTGAGTCATGCAATACGCTCAATTATAAACTAATTACATCAGCCCAGTTTGTTTTTGGAAAAAAACAAACAAACTAAAATGTGGCTTGAACACTGCTTAGCCAGGCTTGATTGTTGTGGATCATGGACCTGGATCAAGAAGAAAAGGGGAGTGATGTAGTTTTCTCCAGAAATGCTTTATAGGAGAATCAACATCAGATGGCATTTCATTTCAATAAACTTAAGGGAAAATCCAGTTGACATGGAAAAAAAACGAGGTTAACAAAACAATAAACACAAAAATAAGAATAGCCCTCCTGTGTTACATCAAACCGTAGCCATAATCGTCTTGTATTTTGATTTGCATTGTGCCAACTGGATGCTTCTGGAGTTCTCGTAGGCCAGAGGTGTGGTAAGTAGGTGATCTGATACACACATAGCAATAACATTTAGACGAGAATAGAATAGAATAGGAATAGGAATAGGAATAGGAATGGAATGGAATGGAATTCTTTATTGGCCACACTTTGCAGCATTCTCTGAACAGTGACAAATATCAGCATGGTGCCTCCAACAATTCTGGGTCTTCATTTCATCAACCATGGAAGGATGGAATGCTGAATCAATCTTGAGCTGGTCAGGGTCGAACTCCAGGCTGTGGGCAGAGTTAGCCTGCAATTCTGCATTGTAACCACTGTGCTACCCTGGCTCCATAGAAAGTGATTAGGGACACCTTTTCTGTATTGTATTGGCTGGAGGATTCTGGGAATTGAAGTCCAGAAGTCTTAAAAGTTATCAAGGTTGGATATCTATGATCTAGACCGGGGTCCTCAAACTTGGTAACTTTAAGACCCATGGGCTTCAATTCCCAGAATTCCCCAGCCAGAATTTTAGGAATTGAAATCCACAAGTCTTAAAGTTGCCAAGTTTGGAGACCTCTGATCTGGACACTCTAAAATATTTTTCAGCTGCTGGTTTCTCACATCTTTCTCTCTCTCTCCTCCACTTCCAATTGTTGTTTCTTTAGCAGTTGCTGCAGGCACTTACCTGCCACCCCTCCAGCAGGTATTTCAAGCTCCTCGTCGGCCTGGGATAGGAACCGTTGGGAAGCCCATCAAGCTCTTGGCCAATTACTTTGAAGTGGACATTCCCAAAATCGATGTCTATCACTATGAAGTTGACATCAAGCCGGACAAGTGTCCACGCAGAGTCAACAGGTAAGGCAAGTATTAGCATTTAGACATTTCTTCTTCCCTCCAGCCCTCACCAAAAAAACCCAAACACCTCAGGTGAACATGTTCCTCCTGTTCTAGAGTAGGGTTGTCCAACCTAGGCAACTTTAAGACTTGTGGACTTCAGAATTTTGGCTGGGGAATTCTGGGAGTTGAAGTCCACAGGTCTTAAATGTCCATGGAGATTCTCAGTCATCCAGGTGATGGTTGTCCCAAAGGTGTTCTTTTCAAAAGGCAACTGGGCTTGCTTGTTTTGCTTGAAGAACTGAAGAAAAGCTTATTGGATGAAAAGCGATATGTCTTCAAGCAAAAAACAAGAAAGTCCAGTTGTCTTTGGGGGAAAAAAAACCATCTTTGGGACACAGGTCTTCTTAAAGTTGCCAAGGTTGGACACTCCTTCCTGTTCTAGAGGGCTGGAAAAGAAAAAGGCACATAGAGGCAGGCATCTCTTCCTGCCTGTTGCCAAGTTTTGAGAAGCCCCATTTCTTGGCTGAGCTGTTTTCAGTCTACCTGGTTGCTTGGCCCTATTCAACTTTGCTATGGCTGGAACTGCTGTTCTTGCTTAGGTTGGCTGGGAGTAAGATGACATTTTTCGATGCTCCGTCTCCTGTTAAGCACGGTGTTTTATGTCTCTTCTCCTCCCTCATCATCTCCGGTCATGCTTTGGTGGCTCAGGAGAAAACAGAGCCTTGATCTTCCATCTCCGTTCAGTTTACAGCAGCTGGGTGGAGCTGGCTGTGGTCCCAGGCTTTTAAAATAGCTGCTCTTAGACAGCTGGGCTGCCATTTAAATATCCTTCTTCCTGTAGAGAAATGTTTAAACTTGGGAGGGTCAGAGATCTGAGAGAGCATATGTGAAAATATGAAGCTTCTCACAGCTTTCTGAAGTCCTAGAGTTGGAAGGATCACGGAGGTCCTTGTTTCCAAGTCTCTTCTTTGTGCAGGAATCTACAGGGAGTCCTTGACTTAGGACTAATTGACCCCCAAATTATGTTCGTAAAATGTTAAGTTGAGGCGTCATGCACCAGATTTGAAACAACTTATTATTTTTTTTTTCAATGGTCGTTAAGTGACCTCTGCAGGCATTAAGTGAATCCATTTTCCCCCAATGGATTTTTTTTTTTTTTTGCCGGAAGTAAATTTCAGAAAGGGGCTAAAATGTCACAAACTGCAGACACATATGGCCGAAAAGGTGAGCCAGTTGGCGGGTTGCCAAGGGTCCAAAATGCAATCAAGTGAACATGAACAGCTGCTGTAACTCTGAAAATGGGCCATAAGTAACTTTAGGGATGCCGGTCATTATTTGGAATGGTCATTAAGCAACTTAGTAATGGTCATAAGTTGAGTCAAAACAAGCAAGAGGGCAACTGCAATTGCAAAATGTAAGTTGCAGACCCTTCTCACACCCCCTGAGCTGAAAAATCACAACCCAGTATGATCCAATTTATATATAAAATATATCTGACAGTTACTTGATCAAATAGTGAAAATACTCTAGCCGACCCAGTCAGATAAGCTGGAATTTTAACTTTCTGAATCTGAAAACCATTTGGTGCATGATCGTGCTGGTTGGGCTGTATAGGAATTGAAATCCCATGTTAACTGGAAGAGACTAAAGACCAGAGTTGTGGAGTTCAAAGGGACCCCAACGACCATCTAGTCCGGCGATGGCGAACCTTTTTGTTGTGTGCCGAAAGCAAGCGCCTGCCGGCATCCACAATGCACTGTCCCCTGCCCCCCTACACATATGCACGTAACACCCCCCCGTCCCCTTACCTGCACTGCGCATGCGCACGCCTTCCAACTGGTTTTCGGCCTGTTTGAGGCCATTTTCACTCACCCGGGGGCTCGAGGGAAGCCTCTGCAGCCTCAGGAGGCCAAAAAACGGGTCTTCTGGAAATACCGGAAGTGTCCGTTTTTAGCCTCTGGAGCCCAGGGGAGGCTGTTTTCACCCTTCTGGAGGCTTGAGGGAAGCCTCTGCAGCCTCGGGAGGCTGAAAATGGGCCTGTTTAGGCACTTCCGGTATTTCCAGAAGGCCCGTTTTTTGGCCTTTCGAGGCTGCAGAGGCTTCCCTCGAGCCTCTGCGAGGGCAAAAATGGCCTCAAACGGGCCGAAAATCAGCTGGGAGGAGCATGCATGCACAGGGCAGGTAAGTTTGGCTGTGGCACTCATCACGGATCTAGTCCAACCCTCTGCAATGCTCAGGACAATCATGATGAGAGGTGAAGTGGGAGATAAACTGTCCAACCTCTTAAAAATCTCCAGAGATTTAAAAAACACACCCTATAATGTCTATAGGTGGACTTCAGTTGGGGAAAAATGTTTATGGTAAATATATTAAATCCTCCACTCTACTAATTATTTCATATTTATTATACTTTTTAAAATAGTTTTTGAATTATTACTCTTGTTAGGACTTTTTTTCCTTTTCCAACGTCATGCTTTCAAGCTAATTTATGCAGCCATGTTAAAAACTTTACGGATATTCCTCTTTTCCTAAAATAAGGCAGATTTCTTAACAACAAGTAAATAGTAATAGTCCCTAGACTTACATGGTGCTCCTCAGCAGTCTCTGAGCAGTTTACAACATCAACATATTTTCCCCAATAATTTGGGTCCCCATTTTACCAAACTCCAGGCTGTAGGCAGATTTTTCCTGCGATGCTGCATTCTTAACCACGGCGCCACCAGGACTCCTAATTCTGCAGCATCATTAAAAATCAGGGTTTTGGCTTGCAAAACTACACCGATTACAACGGTATCCCTCAGGGATCATCCATGCGAAGCAAATAGAATATCCTTCCAAATTATTGATTGGCGGTGCAAACTATCAGTGTTCCAATGAAACTCCCCATTTCATTCAGCACTCAGAAAAAAGATTCATCCAAGCAAGAATTTATTGAACAAATCATATTGGCCCATCTAGGAAAACCCGAATATGAGAGTTCCGGGCTTTCCCTCCCCAATTGAAATTCACAAACTCATCCCCTGCACCCACCAGTACATCACATGGCCTAATCAACCTCCCAACTGGAGACCTTCCTCCAGACACTCCTTCCCAGGTGCAGAGTGACTTGTCCTTGACTTTATGAGAAGAATGTTGTTGAGTCTAACTTTCTACCACTCTACAAAATCCCCCTTCAGCGGGATTTCCCAGGCATAAAAATGTGGCAGCTTTGAGCTTCTAAACAAAATATGGCTTTCAAATATGACTTCCACTTTGTAAATTCAGTGTGCTTGTGTTTGGCCTGGTTCATGTGCAACAAACAATTGTGTTAAGCCTGCTTTAGATCAAAGCTCCCGTTTTTTCCTTTGCAACCAATGACTTGAGAAATAGTGGGGTTTTTTTCCCTTGGACTTTCAGTTCTAATCATTTTAGCTTCCTAGCAGAATTATATTTAAATGTGTCTTTCTAGCTTTTCCTTTTTCTTTCCTCCTCTCCCCGTCCGATGTCTGTCTGTTGCTTTTTTTTTATTTTTGCAGGGAGGTTGTGGAATATATGGTACAACACTTCAAACCTCAGATCTTTGGAGACCGGAAACCGGTGTACGATGGAAAGAAGAACATCTACACTGTTACAGCTCTGCCTATTGGAAACGAAAGGGTAAGGAGTTAAAAGTCAGGTGCAAAACCTTTTAGATTCAAACTAGGTTGTCTGAACAGTGCAACAGGTTCTGAACGTACTGGAGCTACTCTGAGCTTAATATTCTTCTGGTGTGGTCAGAACATTTCTGTAAGTGTGGAATAACTCAGAAAGTGATGAATTCAAAGTGTTTCCCATTGGGGAAAAAGGGGATGAGACAAATGAAACAAACAAAATGTTAAAAAGTTATGATATTTGTGCCGTTACTTACCCAGCACATCTAAATTATTGTCATGCCCCTGTTGGAATCTGATTCTGAAGGGGAGGTTGAGCAATTGACAGGGAGTGGGAGTGTGGCTCTGGTGGCTGTGGAAGAAACTGGGGAAGGGCACAGTCCAGCTGGACATTCAGAGGAAGACCCAGGGCCATCCCTTCTTCATCCTAAGGGCACGCAGGGAGGAATGGAGAAGGGAGCAACGTGAGTTACGTGGTTTACAGGGAAAGAAAGGGCCCTGATCCCCTTCATTAGCTGCAGCTGGGAAAACTGTTCAAAAAGGCAAACTACACACAGCAAAGTTGTTGGAAGCAAAGTTTGCATTATCTTTGTTTGTCAAGGCATATCTGGATTCTGGCATCATCCCAACTGTGTGTGTTTTGTTACCTTTTGGAAGTCTGCAATTCTTTATCCTGCCCTGTCTCATTAATTGCTGCAGCGTGGTTTGTGTTGGTTTTTATTTATAATTTATATGTACTTTGGGCTCAGACTGAATTTCTTCCCTTTAAAAACTGTTCTTGGGAGAGTTTTTTCTCCAGCTGAAGATAACTGGACATTGGCGGCCAAGTTGGAGGTATTAAAGGGGCTTTACCTACTGTTGTGACTTTGTTGCTTTTGTGCCACACCTTGGGTCATCACAATTATATTAAAGTAACCAAAAATACCTTTACAATTCCCAAGGCATGTCGCAACTTTTGAGCACCCCTAATGTTTGGAAATTGAAAGTTGAAAAATTTGACACGCCCTAAAATTTAGATAAACCTTAGTGTTCTTTTTCTGAAAGCAAGAAATATTTGCATATCTGAAGTCCTAGACAGGATGATATCATAGTTAAGATATTAAACTAGGAAGAGATTTATCCACTCAGCCATTGAAACTCACTCTCAGCGTGCTCACCCTGAGACCAATTTATGTTGGTGTTTATGTGGGGAAAAAAATCAAAGGAGAAAAGATGGGAATCTCACAAATAACCACAGATACACCTTGAGTTACAACTGGTCACATTTACGTCAGTTTGCAGTGTCCTGTGGTCACATGACCATATTTTAGGACAATTTTGCTGAAAACAGAGAACTTCCAATGGCTCTCTTAACCTCCACTGTAAAAAACGTTTGTCAAAGAGGGTTGCCCACATGACTGACCCATTTTATGACCATTACAGGTTATGACCATGATGGGAAACCTCCATTATGATAATATGTCGAGGACCACCTGTAATAGCATGTGTGCTTCCTTGTTGTTTCTTGTTTGCAGCATGGGACTGTGATAAAAACAAACAGATTTTTTGTTTTTTTTCAAGAGAGTTCTAGGTTTAAAATTTGAATTGTTCCAGGAATACGCAAAGCAGGTGACAGCAAGTTGACATTTTTGGATTAGGGGAAGGAAGCCAAAATTCAAGGGTTCATGTTGTTTCCTTGGTCTTTTGCAGGTTGATTTTGAGGTGACAATTCCAGGGGAAGGCAAAGATCGAATATTTAAGGTCTCCATTAAATGGATGGCCATTGTGAGTTGGAGGATGCTCCATGAAGCTCTAGTGAGCGGGCAAATCCCTGTTCCTTTGGAATCTGTCCAGGCCCTTGATGTCGCCATGAGACACTTGGCTTCCATGAGGTAAAATCTGATTCATATTTTTTCAACACGAATACCAAGAAGATGCTTGTAACTAGCTTGAGATGTGTCTGTTATCATTACTCACTTCCATTCAGTAATCCATCGACCGAACATTTCTCATGTTGTAATTATTATTTTTTTGCCAAGGGAGGGGGGTGGGGAATGACACCATGAAAAAGGTCAAAAAATCCCAGACATGTTTAGGGGAGGAAAGGACAAAATAAGAGTTCTCTTGTGTACATTTCATTGAAATGTGATAAAACCACCAGTATTCTATGTTTCAATAATTTCTAGATATAGAGATAGGATCTGGGCTTTGCATCGCTTTAGAAGAAGATAACAAAATGAGAAAAATATTGTTTCTGTTGGGCCTCAACTGAAATCAAAATTGTGAGGTTTCATGAGCATGTAACATGGTTCCTTCTTTCTAATGATCTTCCCAGGTACACTCCAGTGGGGCGTTCCTTCTTCTCTCCCCCTGAAGGATACTATCACCCGCTGGGAGGAGGTCGGGAGGTCTGGTTTGGCTTCCATCAGTCTGTCAGACCCGCTATGTGGAAGATGATGCTTAACATAGATGGTAATGATACTTACAACCCTCCCCGCCCACTCACTCCTTACCCGGCAAACTTGCCTGCTTAAATTGCTAGTTTTCCTTTTTCCGACCTCAGGTGTTCTGCTGTGCCGGGAGATTTAGGTTAGCTAGGAAGCAGGAAATGATTGGATTTCTTGCTTTCTAGCTAGTCTTTAGATCTTCGGCTCTTCTTTTAAGCACAGCCGAACCTTCCTTAGGACTGAAGGTTCTATTATTCAGTGCAGACTCTCGGCAAGCAGATTTGAGAGACTGAGCTAGCCGATGGCAGATAGATAGAATGATTCTGTGAGCAACTCAAATCTGCCTGCCTGCTTTGCCTGATTTTGAGTAAAAGTTCTTTTTTTATAAAAAATTCAATATTTACATGCATGGTGTGTTGCGAGTTAATTTTATGAGTTTGCTTGCAAGCAAATTTTATGTGACAGACTGAGCTAGCCAATGGCAGATAGATCTCTGAATGAATCTGTGATTCTGTGAGCAACTCAATCTGCCTGCCTACTTTGCCTTATTTTGGGTAAAATATGCTCTTTTTTTATAAAAAAATCAATATTTGTAATATTTACATACAAGCCATGCCCAGCCGGTCACATGACCACCAAGCCACACCCGCAAATTAGGCCGTGCCCACAGAACCGGTTAGTGGTCCCTGGGATTTAAAATTATGAGTTTGGTGGTCCTGAGGCCCAAAAGGTTTGCGATCCCTGTTCTAGAAGTCGTGGTTGATTAACTCTTCTAGACGTTAGAGAGTAGGCTTTGATTCCATAGTCATTGACGTTATAGAAGAATAAATTATGCATCTGTTACTAAAAGAAATCATTAAAAATGTTCAGAGTCTAGAGGAAGAACTTTTCATTGAGGGCATCTTGTTGGTATTAAGAATTTGAAAAGATATAGCAAAAGAATTAAGGAGCTTAATTATTAATTCTTATAAGATGTTGGATAAGAATTATAAAATTGTAGATACCCTGCAGGGGTAGCTGTGGACTGGTTAGTTTGAGCAAGGGTGTTCAAACAGTTGCAAGATATGACATTGTTGTGATTCATGTGCACCTTTAGTGTCTGCCACGGCGTTCTACAAGGCCCAGCCGGTGATTGAATTCATGTGTGAAGTGTTGGACATCCGGAACATCGACGAGCAGCCAAAGCCCCTGACTGACTCTCAGAGGGTTCGGTTCACAAAGGAAATCAAAGGTAAATCATAAAGGCAGGGGGAATTTCAGAGAGCACAGCAGAGATTTGCCTGGCAATTGACCTGAATTTATTTATTTTAGATCATTTATATTGACGCTACTCGTCCATGGCGACGCCAGGCAGCTTACAAAGATATAAAAACACCATATTATAGAAATAAAAAGTAAGAAAAAGAACAAAAAAAAGAAAAATTCTCACCATCCACCCCGGTGACAACAGACATTCCTACTAATCACTTAATGGGCTTCCTCCCACTCTGGGTTCCCCAGGCCCGCGGTCAGAACCACATCCAGGCGGCCTACAAAGATATAAAAACCATATAAAAGAAATACAAAATAATAAAAAGAAAAATAATAACCAAATAACCCCCTCACTGCCCGCCCCCCCAGTGACAACACACATTCATCCCAGCCATTTAATGGGGTCCCCCCCTGCTCTCGGTTCCCCAGGCCCGCTGGCATTCAGCGACTTCCAAATGAGTGGGGGCCAGTCTAATCTCTTTGGGGGGGTGGGGGGTGGGGAGATGATAATGAATGCACCCTCACCAACAAAAATCTTGAGATGGATACAGCATTCCAGCTGAGATTTCTACTTGGTGTTTTCCTGAACTTGTATAAAATCCTGAACTGTTGAACGCAGATAGTCCTTGGTACTTAACTTTATCAGTCAGAGTTATGACTTAACCTGGAAAAAGGGAATTATGACCCAGTTCTAAAATTGTGACAGTTCCTCCCTCCCCACAGTCACTTGAATGCACTTCAGGCACCTGCAACACAACGGGGATTTTGCAGTAACCTTCCCCTGCCACGCCCACCAAGCCACTCCCACAAAACCAGTCGTAAGAAAATTTGTATCCCACCACTGAACACAGCTGCATTTATATGACCTTTGTAGTGTCCCACAGTCATGGGACCACATTTTGTGATGCTTTGCCGATAGCCAGAAGTTGCTTTCTGTTTTTGGTAAAACCATGTCATAGCAAGCAACTGTTTCACTGACTGACCACAGGGTTCATTTAATGACTGCTGGGGGGAGGGGAAGTCATAAAGTCGGGTTGATCATGTGAGGGTAATTGCTTAGTTATTTCCTGTTAATAATGAAATAATTCATCAGTAACATGAATTCCAGAATAAGCATTTTTTTAAAATCTGTAGAGTACAGATTGTAAAATAAGCAAGTATGAAAATATTTTTAATATCTAATTCTATCAAATGATGGAATCCCACCACTTTCTGATAACTTTGCTGTCATATTCCATCCAGTTTTAGTGCATGTAATAATAATTGCCTAAATTGGGTACTAAGGAAGATACGTTGAATATAAACATGATTAAGGAATCATTCTTTTGTGAAGTATTCTAATTAAAAAAAACTTGTAATTTCAGAGTTGTGCAAGAATGGATCTCTGAATAGAATAAGTGTTTGTAATTGTTGAAATCAGAACTTTACAACTTCTATTCATTAAATGCTCACTGGGTTGTAATTTTAATGGAGAATCTTATGAACTAAAATGGAATAACTAAAATAGAATGGAGGTAGGAGGCAGCTTTGAATGAAACCAAAACTACAATTCCTTGTAAACTTAATCTTCTCTTTCACTAGGTTTGAAAGTGGAAGTTACGCACTGCGGACAAATGAAGAGGAAATACCGCGTCTGTAATGTCACTCGGCGTCCAGCTAGTCACCAAACGTAAGGCAGGAGCAGTAGAGTGAAGAAACATAGGCAGGTAGTCCTCGCTTAGTGACCACAGTTGGGACCAGCAGGTCAGTTGTTCAGCAAAGTGAACATGAAACCACAACTGTGCTTATAACCTTCCTTTAGCTTTGTTTTGCTTTATGGATCCGCGAAGGTCATAAATGCAGGTGTCGGTGGCAAAGTTTTTTTTTTATCACTGTCGTAACTGCAGACGGTCACTGTCCGAGGCAGTTGCTTAACGAGGACTACCTGTACCAAGAACACAAACTCTGCCTTTTACACTCGTTGCATGCCATTTTGTAAGGTGAGCTTGTGTTGTGATAATGCAATACAGGTTTTGTCCTTCGGATGCCCTGGTGCAGGGGTCCCCAACCGTCCGGTCCATGGACGGGTATCACTCTGTGGCATGCCAGCAACCAGCCTGCACAAACAAGCAAAGGCCCATCTGTGGGATGCAGGCAGCAAGCAAAACTACGCCCCCTTCGGTCCACGGAAAACCTCTCCGTAGAAGTGCGCAAAAGATTGGGTCCCTCTGTCCTGGGGGTGGTTTGTCTGGAGGCCTCAGAGGAGTGAAGCTGAACCTTTTTTCGCCTGTGGGCGTTGGGTCTCTAAGGTTGCTCTGGTTCTCGTTGTACAGGTTCCCCTTGCAGCTGGAGAGCGGACAAACCGTGGAATGCACCGTTGCACAATACTTCAAACAGAAGTACAACCTGCAGCTGAAATACCCCCACCTGCCTTGTCTTCAAGTCGGCCAAGAGCAGAAACACACCTATTTGCCTCTGGAGGTAGAAAGCCTGTGCCTGGGGCTGGGCTGGTGGCAGTTCTGGGCAGAGATCATGGGGGATAATCTACTAATGCAGTCATTGCTCTGTTCTTTGCTCTGACCCCTTCTAGCTTCATGTGGTGGAATGTAGTCTGGATTCCCAAGAGAGAATTAGAGATTCTCTCATATGTAATTAGAGATTCAGAATAATGTCAGCTGGTGCTCCGTTCAAAATCCAAGAAAGAAATACTTAGACTCTTGTAATTAGAGAAAAGGTGATCTTTTACTGGAAGTCAAGTGGCAGCAACAAGAGAATTCTGAACCTGGGGAAATAGGCACATACATCACATATATCAAGGGATTGAAATGTTCCCACCCCCAATAGTTCAAACGGTTCTTCCAATTAAAAGTTGTGAACCTCATCATGTGGACATCTTCAGGTGGTGATGATTAGTTACCTAGGCTTACTCAGATAAAGGTTTGCAGTTGCGCAGAGAAGAGAAAGCTAAGCAGGAATTAGAAACCGTCTCCAGTTTATACAATATCAGTTAGTAACACTTTCAGTTCACGTCCCATACGTCCCTCACGTTTCCCCCTTCCAGCCCTGCCCTGTTACTCATGACAGCCAGAAAGAAGCAAAGGAAGGGAGGAAGATCTTGAAGGCTGACAGGGGCTGCATTCCAGAGAAGCAAGTCCCAAAGGTGCTTTTTCAAAGGACAAACTGGCCTGTCTTTATTTTTTTTCTTGAAGACGTTTCACTCCTCATGCAAGAAGCTTTTTCGATTCAGAACTGAAGAAGCTTCTTGGATGAGAAGCAAAATGTCTTCAGGGAAAAACAAAGAAAGTCCAGTTGTTGTTTGAAGAAGCACCTTTGGGACAACCATGACCTGGATGGCTGAGAATCTCCAGAGACAAGAGATAGCAAAGTTTAGATAGTTTGATTGGGAGGAAGAACGTCAAGACAGCTCCTCCTTAGATGTTCCCAAAGTCTTTAATGATACAGGTAGTTGCTTTAGTTTCGCAAGATTTCTGTCTATAATGATTGCTCCCTATTAGTATCAAATAACTTTATGCAGCAATATGGTCACTGAGCAGTGATATATATTAAAATGTGAATGTGAAAACACATATGTGTCTATTTGGAAATGCAAATATAAGATATATAACAAGCAATAAGAATGAATGAAATACAGGAGATAAAAATACAATAATAATTGAAGTAATACAAAAATGCAAGTGAGTACATAAATCAGAATGTTCTATTAGTATTTTTATTGCTGCTGCTGATCTTGCCAAAGTGGTTGTGTGGGAGAGTGATGCTTTCTGGAACTAGCTAACTCTAAGCTATCCATGCAACATGTTGGATTTTGGCTCAGCATGTTGTATGAATCTAATCTTCGTGGTTTGAAAACCTTAATTTGTAGCTGAGTTCGCTGTGTGGGCTTTGGGAACAGGAGCGTGTCCAGCAAAGTGAAACTAAGCAAATCAACTCTTAATGTGATGCGTTGTCCCAACTAGTTTTGTTTTCCTCAAACCAGGGTTTGGCAAAATCTGGACGATACACAAAACCCGAAATCATCATTGTTTTCATCCCCTTTTGAGTTCAAGGAAAGGTGGTCGCTTTAAACAAATACCTGCCTCCTCCTTACCCATTTTCCAGGTGTGTAACATTGTGGCTGGCCAGCGGTGCATCAAAAAACTGACGGACAATCAGACGTCTACCATGATCAAAGCTACAGCACGGTCTGCTCCTGACAGGCAAGAAGAAATTAGCCGCTTGGTAAGTACTGCTTCCTTTCGTCGGAACCATGCCAGAATGGGAGGTAACCTTTTTTGAGCTAGCCTGGGGTTGGTAGGAAGCTCAGAGCTGTGTGCTGCTGTAATTCAGAAGGAAGAGAGTGCAGGAATTTCATTCTTGGCTCTGGCTAATAACATACCAGCTGTGTACACTTCAGTGTACATGTGGTCCGCATTTTACAACTATTCATGTAACTGCTGTTCAAAATTACCATGCTGCTGAAAAAGTGACTTATTACCAGTCAAACCTGGCAACTTTAACATAGGTGGACTTCAACTCCCCACAATTCCTCAGCCAACATGGCTGGCTGGGGAATTGTGGGAGTTGAAGTCCACCCATCCTAAAGTTCCAAAATTGAGAAATACTGCCCTAGAGAAGACTATCTTGTTTGAAAACTTCAACCTCCCTTTGTCTTGTAGATGAAAAATGCCAGTTATAACCTGGACCCATACATACAAGAGTTTGGCATAAAAGTGAAAGATGACATGACTGAAGTGACTGGGAGGGTCTTGCCAGCCCCGATTTTACAATATGGAGGTCGGGTGAGTAGTAAGGAACCTGTGGGCTGCTTTTATTCACAAGCACAACTGGAGCCTGAGATGTTTATTTGTTAACTCCTATCAATCCATCCTTCAGAAACTGGAGTAGCAGGTAGCTTTCTGAGACCCTTAGCCAGGGGTCCCCAAACTTGGCAACTTTAAGACTTGTGGACTTCAACTCCCAGCATAGCTGGCTGGAGAATTCTGGGAGTTGAAGGTCCACATGTCTTAAAGTTGCCAAGTTTGGAGACCTCTGATCTTAGCTGTGATCTTAGAAAAGTTAACAGAAGGGAAAAAAGTTTCTATTTCTCTTAAGGTAAAGGTTTCTCTCGCACATACACGCTAGTCGTTTCTGGCTTTATGGGACGGTGCCCATCTCCATTACAAAGCCAAAGAGCCAGCGCTGTCCGAAGACGTCTCCGTCGTCATGCGGCCAGCATGACTAAACGCCGAAGGTGCAAAGGGCTCCCTATTTTTCTACTTGCATTTTTACATGCTTTCGAACTGCTAGGTTGGCAGAAGCTGGGACAAGTACTCCATTACGCGGCGCTAGGGATTCGAACCGCCAAACTGCTGACCTTTCTGATCGACAAGCTCAGCGTCTTAGCCACTGAGCCCCCACGTCCCTTCTATTTCTCTAGAAGCATCTTTTTTTCTTCCCTAGAAAATCATAGAATCGTAGGACTGGAAGGGTTCTCGGAGGTTTTCTATTCCAGGGGTCTCCAAGCTCCATGCCCACTACTCGGTCTGCTTAGTCAAGACAGAATAAGGCAGACTTAGGCTATCCCAGTCAAATGCTTGTGTAGTCCATTTTTTGAAAATCTTACTAATGGAATGCCCACAACCCTAGAAGACAAGCTATCCCTCCCCACCAGCCAAAATCTTTGAGCTATGGATTTGGTCAGGCACAAAGGAATAGGGTCACACAATAAGTTACAGATAAGATTGTTTGCTCAAGTCTATATACAAGAATCTTGTCAGCCAACTCAATTGGGGCTAGATAGGAGCCAGCAGAATTCGGGGTGGGGGCTGGACTTGGATCACTTGTGGCAACATGATGACTCCAGCCTGATTCCTCTCTTGGTGCCACCCCAGGCTCTGCCGCTCCTTCTCCTACAGTTCTTTTTTTTTTTTTTAAAGCATTTTCCTCCCACAGAACCGTGCCATCGCCACGCCCAATCAGGGGGTCTGGGATATGCGAGGGAAGCAGTTCTACAATGGGATCGAGATCAAAGTGTGGGCCATCGCCTGCTTTGCCCCTCAGAAGCAGTGCAGAGAAGAAGTGCTGAAGTGAGTGAGTGGAGTGCACGGGAAGGGGGAAGAAATGAAGGAGCTCCTAGAAGGAGCAGAAGGAGTTGACCTCGTCAGCTCAAGCCAGGCCTGGAACACAACCCTGTTTTGAAAAACCGGGTAGATACTGCTGGTTAAAAGAGGCAGGTTGCGGTTGCATAAAAATAGTGCAAGGGTGTCAGCCACAACAGAATATCTGGAAGCAATTTAACTCTCAAATATCCCCCGGTGCCCAGCATTAAACATAATAGTAGTTGCAATAGAAGATAATATTGGTAGCTCAGGGTTAAAATGAAAAGTCCTGGTGCTCTCTGAGCTTGGATGTTTTTCTTGCAGGCGTTTCATTACCCAACTAGGTAACATCATCAGTGCTAATAATGTAACCTAGTGGGGTAGTGAAACATCAGCAAAAAAAAGCAGCGAGAACACCAAGGAATAATTCCTTTGTAATAGCTTGGGGGTGGGCGGGGGGAGAATTACAGTTCTTGCTGGCTGGAATGTCAAACGTGGCAAGATGGCTGGGTTCTTACACGGGATATCCAAGATTCCACGTGAAAACAGTTGTAAAATTAAAGGTTTACTGATTTTCATCATTTTTTTGAGATTTAAAGACATCCTGTTCTGTCTCGCCTTTCCTCTTTTCGAAAAGATGAAAGAGTACACACACACACAAACGCAGGCAGGCAAGCTGGCTCGGACTTCACAGAGTTAATTCTTTGGAACTGATAATATTCTTGGCATTCCACCACGTCCTGCCTGCCAAGTCCGAACTGATAGCAAATAAAATTTTACACACAGAAAATCACAAGGCAGTCCACAAAGAAAATCTGAAGTAAGATTAAACTTTGTCCGGAACAAAGTTTCGGGAGAAAACACACCCACTTTTATCCCCTGTGGGGTGTGGCTCAATGACTCAGCTCACTCTCTGACCCTCCCACGCCTCCTACATTGCTGCTCACGTTCCTCCCTACGACGCTGCTTAGGATCGAGCCAACACTCTTCCTCTCTACTCCCTGTCAGGGGCTGCTCCGATATGCCTTCCTCCTGATTAATCTCAGGCTGTTCCTCTCGGTTGTCTGCTGGAACCTGAGGCACTATCAGGGAGGAAGGTCCTGGGGAGGAAGGCATTCCCAGTTCCTCCTCCTCATCTTCCAGGTCCTCTTCCTCTGACAGCATAGGCTCGGGAATCGGGGACACAACACATCCCCTATGGATGATATGCAAAATCTTACACATTGCTTATGCATAGAAGCTTCCAGGTTGAAACTGTAGGTTGTCCAGATAAGGATCTGTCTCTGCTCGGATTAGATCATGTTCAGCTCAATAGAGAATGATTTGCTGGAAACAAGCTTATTTCCTGTCTTCCCAAAGGGAAATAATTCACAAAGTACGGGAATATTGATGGAATACATTCACTCTCAACTTTGGTAAGGTTAAGATGTGTGGACTTCTAGGGAATTCTGGGAACTGAAGTCCCCACATTTTAATCTTTTTAGTTATACCGAATAGTAACCCCTCGCTGTTTCTATAGCAATAACCAAACTGTTTCCTCCTGAATGGTGGCATATCAGTTGTGAAAAAGTCATCTACGCTCTTCTGATCTGACTTTTTGTTTTCTTTGGATAGGAACTTTACGGACCAGCTGCGCAAAATTTCTAAGGATGCAGGGATGCCAATCCAGGGCCAGCCTTGCTTCTGTAAATATGCCCAAGGTGCTGACAGTGTGGAGCCCATGTTCCGACACCTTAAAAACACATATTCAGGACTCCAGCTCATCATTGTCATCCTGCCGGGAAAGACCCCAGTGTACGGTATGTCACCAGAATGGGTGGTCAGGAAGAGCATTTGAGAAGCGTAGTCTTTAGTTACTACCTACCTGTTCTGGCTGTGGAATTCTGGCAGTTGAAGTCCACCCATCTTTAAAGTTGCCAAGGTTGAAAAACACTGCATTAATCTAACCAACTTGTAGTATTAAAAAGTTTGGAGCATCTCAAGATTTCTCTATTCCTTACGGGACTTTGATTTTATTCTCCGCCGTGTCAACGGAGGTTTTCCTAAAGGGAGCTGCTTCGCCCAAACTTGTAGTAGTAAAAAGTTAAACAAGAACCGTCCTTTTGTGACGACCCCTGATCTCTGATGCTCTGTTCTTTCCCTGCAGCGGAGGTGAAGCGTGTAGGGGACACTCTTCTGGGCATGGCCACTCAGTGTGTGCAGGTCAAAAACGTGGTGAAGACTTCCCCCCAGACTCTTTCCAACCTCTGTCTCAAGATCAACGTTAAACTTGGGGGGATTAACAATATCTTGGTGCCCCATCAGCGGTATGTATTGCTCGGGGTTGAAGGGAGACCACTTGCTTCGTCCCTACTCGCTACTTTAGTTACGTTCTCTCTCTTCGTCTTTTGACCTTGGGGGAAAACTCCCAAGTCCTTTGTAAAATTGATCGTGAGGATGGGTCATAAATAGGTCTTTTTGATGCTGTTGTTCATTTGAATGGTCACTAAAGAAATGGTTGTCAGTCAAAAACTCCCTGTAGTTTCCTTGTACCCTCAGTCATCTTAGAATCGATCCTTTGTATAAAAACTCCTGCTTCGTGTTGCTTCCAGATCCGCCGTTTTTCAGCAGCCGGTTATATTCCTGGGAGCTGATGTGACTCATCCACCAGCTGGGGATGGAAAGAAGCCCTCCATAACAGCTGTAAGTTCACTTTTCCAAAGTCGTGGCCTTGAACAAAGCAAAGATAGCTCAGCTTTGGAATTCTGGTGGAAACGGGGCCTCAGCAGAAGACCTCATTTTGGGAGTCCTCCTCCTTCTCCCTCTCCCTCCCCCTCTCCTCTTCTCTTCTCTCCTCCTCTCCTTCCCTCCCCTCCTTATTAAGACGATTAAAGCGAGAGTGGGACTTCATGTTTCCTTAATGTTCTTCTCCTGATCTCCACCTTCAGTATATTGTTTCACTCTAACCAGTTGCAGTTTAGTCAATAATCCACGTTCAAGCATGGTTTAAGCTCAGTGTCTTCCTCTCCTCCTAAACTGCCCTTCCCCCAAAATGCTATATAAAGATTAGAGATCCACCTAACACCTGTTGCCTCCCACTTTCACCGTGAGCGAGTCATAGACATTGCCTCTTTGTCGACGGCAGGTGGTGGGCAGCATGGATGCCCACCCAAGCCGCTACTGCGCCACGGTTCGGGTACAGCGGCCACGCCAGGAAATCATTGAAGACCTTTCCTACATGGTTCGAGAACTCCTCATCCAGTTCTACAAGTCCACACGCTTCAAACCGACACGCATTATCTTCTACCGGGATGGTGTGCCTGAGGGACAGCTGCCACAGGTGAGGAAGACTTCTCCTTGCTGCCACTTCTGGAAAACCAGGTGCTGCATAGAAAGAGGAGTTCGCTCTCTGGTTCACCTTGGGTTGGTAGAGCCACCTTCTCTTCTTTAGATCAGGGGTCTCCAACCTTGGCAACTTCAAGACTTGTGAACTTCAACTCCCAGAGCAAAGCTGGCTGAGGAACTCTGGGAATTGAAGTCCACAAGCCTTAAAGTTGCTGGTCTTCCGGTTTGGGCTTCTTCAGCGACAGACCGAAACCTCGTCTCTGCGAGGCTTCGATCCGTGCTCACCGCTGGAGCGCCCTGAGCCGCCTGGTTTCGGGGCTAAGTCACCCCGTAGAGGTGGTGAAAAGGGGGAAGACTGCCTGAAGGGTTGAGGAGAGCCGCATCTCTCCTCCCCAGCTGGCCATTACTCCCTTCCCCAAAGGAGGTTGTAGCGGTGGTCAGAAATGGCCACCACAAAGAAGAACTCGACCGGAAAAGAATGTGCAGGAGGAAGATAAGAAGAGAAAGTTTTGGTTGACTGGGTCAAACAGCAAAAGCAACAAATAAGGTACCCTGGAATTGAAACTATTAAAAAACAAAACAATAACATTGTTCCCTAAGAAGATTTTTAAGCTGCGAAGGAGAGAGAAAAGGGAAAAGATTTGGTTTTTTTTCTCCTTTTCCTATACTGACAGCTAAGAGACTTAAGCAAGAAATTGGAAAAAAACCCACTTTGACATCAGTAGGCATTTAATGCTGAAAATAAAAAGTCAAAGGGATAATAAAGATTTCTGGATAATTAAAAGCTTTTGAAAACACAAGTCTTAAAAGTTGCCAAGGTTGGAGACCCCTGCTTTAGATGCTTGTGGGACCACCACCTCCCAATATTCATTGCACAACTTACAGGTAGTCCTCAGCTTGAGACTGCAATTGTGATCCACATTTCTATTGCTAAGCAAGGCAGTTACTTTTATCACTTTTCTTTCACAGTTGTCAAGCAGATCATTGCTTGTTAAAAGAACCAGCGGGAACTTTCGGTTTTCTTTTTGCAATTGTCATAAATGCCAGTTGCCAAGCGCCCAAATTTTGATCCTGCGACTGTGGGAAGGGCTGGAAAGTTAATAAGTGCAAGAACTGGTCATAAGCCACTTTTTTTTTTCAGAGCTGTTGTAACTTCCAACAGTCACTAAATGAAAATTGTAAGTTGAGGATTTATAGTCATGTTATATAGCTCAGTTTTTCCTGGATCTTCCTAACTTCTAATCTTCAGTGATCCGCTTGTTTGCAATCGAGAGCTGCACAATTTGCCAAGGTTGAACACCCCTGATCTATACGGTCTGTTCTGGGTCCTTTTGGGGAGGGCGCACAAAATAATACTCCCAAGCAGAGATGGTATTCAGCAGGTTCCGACCAGTTCTGGAGAACCGGTAGTGGAAAATTTGAGTAGTTTCGAGAACCAGCAAATACCACCTCTGACTGGCCCTGCCCCCATCTATTCTCTGCCTCCCATTGAGTCCCAGTTGATTGGCTGGGTCTTCTTTGGTTGCCCTGCACAGGAGAACGGAGCTGGAAAGCAGGTTAGTGGGGTGGGGAGGGAATGGGGATTTTGCAGTATCCTTCTCCTGCTATGCCCACCAAGCTGTGCCCACAGAACCGGTAGTAATTTTTTTTTTAATAGAATAGACTTCTTTATTGGCTAAGTGTGATTGGACACACAAGGAATTTGTCTTGGTGGAAATGCTGTCAGTGTACATAAAAGAAAAGATAACAGATAATAGATAATTAGAGTTGGAAGGGACCTTGTAGGTCATCTAGTCCAAACCCCACGCCCAAGCGGGAGACCCTACACCATTTCTGACAAGTGGCAGTCCAATCTCTTCTTGAAAGTCTCAAGTGATGGCGCTCCCACAACTTCCAAGGGCAACTTCTGTTCCATTGGTTGATTGTTCTCACTCTCTGAAAGTTTCTCCTTGTTTCCAGGTTAAATCTCTCCTTGTTCAGTTTCCATCCATTATTCCTTGTCTGGCCTACAGGCGCTTTAGAAAATAGCTTGACCCCGCTCCTCCTCCCTGTGGCAGCCCCTCAAATATTGGAAGACCGCTATCATGTCTCCCCTGGTCCTTCTCTTTACTAGACTAGCCAAGCCCAGTTCCTGCAACCGTTCGTTGTATGTTTTAGCCTCCACTCCCCTAATCATCCCGGTTGCTCTTCTCTGCACTTTTTCTAGAGTCTCAACATCTTTTTTATAGTGTGGTGACCAAAACTGGATGCTGTACTCTAGGTATGATCTTACTAAGGCTTTATAGAGTGGTCTTAGTACCTCCCTTGATCTCGATTGTATCCCTCTGTTAATACAATTTAAGATTGCATTGGCTTTTTTGGCTGCTGCTGCTGCACACGGCTGGCTCCTATTTAGCTGGTTGTCCACTAGGACTCCAAGATCCCTCTCCCAGATACATTCGTCAAGAGTCCAGAATCCCAGCACGGCTCCCAAGTGGGCTTCTCAGGGTCTTCTCTATTCATTGTGTTAGTGTATTTTCCTTCCTTCCTTCAGATCCTCCACTATGAGCTTCTGGCCATCCGGGATGCCTGCATCAAACTGGAGAAGGATTACCAGCCGGGCATCACCTACATTGTGGTTCAGAAAAGGCACCACACTCGCCTCTTCTGTGCAGACAAGAATGAGAGGGTGAGGCTCAGAGATGGGCATGGGTGGTGTGTTGATGGTGGAGGTTTATAGGATTCTGCACTGGGGTTTTATTCCGGTAAGCTGCCAGTGTCCCCGTGAGTTGGGCAGTTGTATAGGTAGCCCTCAACGTAGGACTACAATTGAGCCCAACATTCCTGTTGCTAAGCGAAACGTTTAAGTGAATTTTGCTCCATTTTGCAACCTTTCTTGTCACTGTTGTTAAGTGAATCACCACAGTTGTTACATTAGTAGCCCAGTTGTTAAGTGAATCTGGCTTCCTCATTGATTTTGCTTCTCGAAAGGGGATTGCGTGACCCTGGGACACGGCAACTGTCATAAATATGAGTCAGTTGCCCAGTCTCTGTAATTTAGTTTATTTTATTGTCATTGCACCTCCTACAATGAAATCAAACACCATCTTCAGTGCACATCATGACCATGAAAATAAACACAAACACACATCCTTCACCCATCACACATTCAACTGAAAACCCCCGACACCATACCAACACTGCACTATACAGCAGAATTCAACAGAGCTGCTGCCCTGGGAGATAAGCTGTTTTTCAGCCTGTTTGTCCTTGTTTTTATTATCCTGTACCGTCTGCCAGATGGTAATAGTTCAAAAAAAGGGTTCTTTGAGGATGAGATGGATCTTTGAGAATGTTTTGAACTTTCTTGAGGCAGTGGGGGCTATAAAGCTCTTCCAAAGAGGGGAGAGGGCAACCCATGATCCTCTGGGCAATGACGTTAACCCTCTGGAGTGCTGTCCTATCTGCCCCTGTGCAATTGGCAAACCATACAGAGGTGCAGCAAGTTAAGATACTCTCTATGGTGCAGCGGTATAAGGTCATCAGCAGTTTTCCATTCAGTTTTTGTTTCCTGAGAAATCTCTGGTAGTATAATCTCTGCTGGGCCCTTTTGACCAGGGCTGCAATGCGAGCCCCCCCAGGACAGGTCCTCTTTTAGGGTAACTCCCAGAAACTTAAAACTGGCCACTTGCTCCACTCGGTCTCCATTGATCACATGACTGTGGGGATGTTGCAATGGTCATAAGTGTGAAAAATGATCATGTCATTTTTTTCCCACTGCCGTTATAACTGAACGGTCACTAAATGAACTGTTGAAAGTCAAGGACTACCTGTATAAATGTTCTACATAAATAAATACATTCCACAATTCAAAGGCTGCTTAGACAGCTTAATCTGAGCATCAATAGCCATAGCACTGAGACTTATACACCACTTCACAGTGCTTTCCAGCCCTCTCTGAGCATTTTACAGAGTCAGCCCCCAACAATCTGGGTCCTCATTGTATCCATCTCGGAAGGATGGAAGGCTGAGTCAACCTTAAGCCTGGCGAGATTCGATCTGCCAAATTCAGGCAGCCGGCAGTCGGCAGAAGTAGCCTGCAGTACTGCACTCTCCCCACTGGGCCACCACAGCTCATCAAGACTTGTCTTCAACTCTTTCAAAGTATAGATCAGTGATCCTGGAATGGGAGGGGCGACTTGAGCGTATCCTGAGAATAATGGAGCCATCTGTAATGGCTTGCCTGCGAATTGAACTTCCGGTCTGGGGTTGCGGGCTGTGCTGGCGTAGAACAACGGAGTCTTTGTGGAAGGAGTGAAATGATTTGAGCCCCAGAAAGGAACCATTTGAGTCAAACCATTTTAAGAAACACAGATCTGGAGAAAGGTGAAGTTGCTGGACAGCAGACATTAGAAGCCGTGGGAAAGCCTTACCCCAGAACCATGCATGATGATAAATCAATCAATCGCACGCCTACAAAGGCAGTCCTCGACTTACGACCTCAACCGACCCCCAAATTTCTGTTCCTAAGCAAGACAGTTCTTAAGTGAGTTTTCCCCCCATTTTTCTTGCCACAGCTGTTAAGTGAATCACTGCAGTTCTTAAGTGAATCAGGCTTCCCCATTGACTCTGCTGGGGAGAAGCTTGCAAAAGGGCCTGGGACACTGCGACCATCAGTTGCTAAGCACCCAAATTTTTAGCGCATGACCACGGTTTGTAGGTATGAAAAATGTTGCTTTTAAGTTACTTTTATTCTGTGGTGTTGTAACTTTGAATGGTCATTTGTTGTAAGCCGAGGACTCCCTGTCACTCGAACTGCACTGCAGAATTGTGGAATTAAAGATCTTGGCGATTTTTATGGAAACCTGGTCCCACTTTTTTCTGGTACCTTTGCCATTGCTATTGTCTTTAACTATGTTTCTCCCTCTCTCTCTCCCTCCCTTTCTCTCCCTC